CTGTTTTTCTAGCTGCATTTAACCAAATCTTTTAAAAATTTTCAACACATTAATCTTTTAGGAAGGTTAAACATTAACTTTTTTTTCTGTAGTTGTTTTCTTTTGTTCACTTAATCCTTAACCCTATTGGGTTCCATCTCTATTTTATATGTACTCTTAAGAAAGGAAAAAACAGGACTCGTTAAATTGTGACATGCTGTCAATTGTAAGATATGTTGTGATTTCTAAGATGTTACAGTGTAAACAAAACACAGTGCTCCTAGAATCAATACTCTGATATTTGTGTTGGAGGTTCTTCGGGTATTTTTAAGCTAAGGCAATCTTGCTAGAATAACAGTAGCAGTCACGTGCCTTTTCAGCTTTGATTTTAGATGCTGCTTTAGGGAAATAATGTGCTGTCCAGGTCAATGCCAACTTCATTATCTTGAAAGCTTTTTAATCTATCATGATTATAAAGAAATTAGCTTGCTTTGGTTGAATAATAAAGATTGGGGGAAATGTATTTTGCTAAGATTAGGAAATACAGGGTTTTCTAAAGACTATAAAGTAGAATTAAAAAATAGTTTTGGTGATCTTTGTGTAAGTTTCCTGGGTATTCTTAACTTTAAAAAATCCGTGTTCAGCCTCCCAGCTCTGCCACTCCCCCTCTTCTCCCCTCCCCCATCAAGTTGAACTTCTTCATGAGCTGAAAAGTGCCCCAGAATAGTGTCCTGCATTCTGACAGCAAGTTCATAAAGGGCTCTGCCTTCAGAGTAAGCCCAGGCCCCACCTTTGAGCTGTGTGCTGTGGTGGGAGGGAGCATGTGAGGCCTGGATCTGGCCAGAGCATCGTCTTCCAGAAGCAATGACTGTGTAACGCTCACTGGCTTCTATACGGAGACAGGCCCATGGACAGGCTGAGGAGAGCAGAGCTCTGCTGGCGAGTAGGGGGTGGTAGGAATAGCACTCGGGGAAGTGTTAGGAATATCTTACTAACGAAATATTTTAAAATTGATTTTTATTGATTTCAGAGAGGAAGGGATAGGCAGGGAGATAAACATCAGTGATGAGAGAGAATCATTGATCGCTGCCTCCTGTATACTATCTCTGGGGATTGAGCCTGCAACCTGGGCATGTTCCCTTGACTGGAATCGAACCCCAGACCCTTCAGTCCACAGGTTGATGCTCTATCCACTGAGTCAAACCGGCTTGGGCCTAACTTGAAATTTTGATATATAAAGCATGGTTTGGGAAAACACATTATTAGATCTTGGAGAGCTGGGCTCTGAAATCAAATGGAAGATCTTTACCATTAGAAGTGAAAAGTAAATGCCTGTGATGAGGCTAAGCATACGCTCCAGATGTTCTGGTGAAATAGAGCATTAGGCCCTTTCAGTCTGGACCTGTTTGCACTGGATCCAGGAATTACCTATTTTATCCCCAATCCTATAGATTCCAGCTCATTTATTTCAGTATTCAAGAGCCCTTGGTGGTAGTTGTTGTTAACACTCACCTGAGAATATTTTTTCCATTGATTTCTAGAAAGAGTATAAGGAGCGGGGGGAGAGAAACATTGATGTGAGGGAGACACATCAATTGGTTGCCCCCCTCATGTGCACTGACCAGGGCCAGAGTTGAATCTGCAACCCAGGCACATGCCCTTGCCCGGGAATCAAATTTGTGATTCTTTGGTGCATGGGCTGATGCTCTAACCACTGAACACACTGGCCAGGACCCCTGTTGTTTTTGTGTGTGTGCGCGCGCACGCGCTTTTAAATATATATATATATATATATATATATATATATATATATATATATATGGGTTAATGAGCAGAAACAACTTATATTTCATATAAAATAGAAATGTGTTCATAATATCCGAGAAGAACAGAAAGAAAACTGCTTGTTTGTTACACAGACTGGCTGTACCTTAGATTCCTGCAGTATTTCCTCAGTCCCATGGCATAGCGGAGGTATTATGTTTGTGCTCTTTCGTGGAGACGACCAGACGTTGCTGTGCCTCCTCCGTGTTAGATGCTGATGAGGCCATGGTAAATGGAAGACCCCCAGGTGGGTGGGCGGAGGGGGTTAGCTGTGATGTAACAAAGATACCTGTGAAGAGTTCCCGGATCACAAAGGAGGGACCGCGAGTCCTCCCTGGTGAGAGTAGGTGGCGAAGGGAGGTTGTGCAAAGGTAGTAGCATATGAGCTGAGTGTTGAAGGTTGACTAGGAGTGTACAGGCAACAAGGACAGGTGCGTGGGCAGAGGGCCAGCAGCCTGAGAGAATGTGATTGGTGTTGAGGAAGCAAGGTCAAGGTTCACTGTGGGAAGGCACTGGGACTGAAGGGCTGAGAGGAAGGGACTTTGCAGATACCCTGTAGGTTAGGCCATCCAAGCCAGTCTTCTGTGGAGTCCAAGCCCACTGAGAGTCTCAGGGGAAGAGACTTTGAACAGCGCAGCCTAGGAATCTAATCCCGGAAGAGACACCTGGTTCCTGGTGATGTTCCAGAAGCCAGGCTGGCCAGGGGCTGCTGTTAGGCTCCTGAGTGCTCTGCCAGGAAGCACTGCACCTGCGTTAGAGCAGGAGCTGAAGGGCAGGTTGCTGGTGAGGAGACCAGTTCATAGCTAGATCCATTTTGGTTACATAACATTTGACCCTTGAGAGAAAGATGTTTAATCACAAAACTTAGAAAATTAGGGCTCTTCTAAGAAAAAAGAATTTTAAGATGAGAATTTGGGGACAAATGCCGATTTTATTGTTGATTTTGACCAAAGATTAAATAAATGTTTATAATGCTGTCTGATAAAAGAAAATCTTTGATTTAAATCATACTTTAAGAGTAATGTTCTTTTTTTTTCTTTCTTTTTTTAATTCTCTTCCTACACGATCTCTTCAGATCTTAGATCAAAGTGGTAGGATTTGTTTGTTTTTAATCCTCAGCTGAAGAATATTTTCCCATTGATTTTTAGAGAGTGGAAGAGAGAGAGAGACAGAGAGAAACATCCATGTGAGAGGAACACATCGATTGGTCACCTCCTGCACGTGGCCCAGGCTGGAAGGAGCCAGCAACCAAGGACATGCCCTTGACAAGAATCGAACCTGTGTACCCTTCAGTCTGCAGGCTGACACTATCATGGAGCCAAACCTGCTAGGGCCATGGTCAGTAAACTACGGCTCTTGAGCCACTTGCGGCTCTTTGGCCCCTTGAGTGTGGCTCTTCCACAAATAAGGCCTGGGCAAGTCTGTTTTGAAGAAGTGGCATTAGAAGAAGTTTAAGTTTAAAAAATTTGGCTCTCAAAAGAAATTTAATCATTGTACTGTTAATATTTGTCTCTGTTGACTAATGAGTTTGCCGACCACAGGGCTAGGGCAAAGTGGTAGGACTTTTTAAAGATAAAAAATGCTAGAAAGTTTTAATTTTTTCAAAAACATTGTAATGTATTTTTATTTTTTATTTTATTGATTTTTTTACAGAGAATAAGAGAGAGGGATAGAGAACCAGAAACATCGATGAGAGAGAAACATCGACCAGCTGCCTCCTGCACACCCCTCACCGGGGATGTGACCGCAACCAATGTACATGCCCTTGACCAGAATCGAACCTGGGACCTTTCAGTCTGCAGACTGACGCTATATCCACTGAGCCAAACCAGTTTCGGCTATAATGTATTTTTATATTTAAGGGCACTTGCATTTCTTTTACTGTGATACATTAATATCTCAACCAATTTTAAAAAATAAATTGGATTTTTGGTCTTTTTATTATAATTTAGGAGCCCTTTATATATTGAAGAGATTAGTTTTCTGTTTGTAATATGAGTTGCAAATATTTCCCCCCAGTTTGTCTTTTTGCTTTGTGAAAGGTTCTTATATTTAATTACTTGAATATATCATTTTCTAAATGGTGTCAGTTTTTTGAGTCATGGTTGGAAAGCGCTTATATACTCCAAGGTTATAAAAAAGGATATTGCCCCATTTATTCTAGAACTTTCCATATCTTTATGATTTACGTTTACATGTTTGATCAGTCAGGAACTGGTGCTGGTTTGTGATGTGCAGGGTGAGTCTGGGCAGGAGTTCGGTAGCTCGTACGCCATTCATTGTGTAGTCTTGTCCCTCCTCTACTGAGACGCGCCTTTGTCATCCACCATCTCCTGTGTCTGGACTCGCCGTCTGCTAGTGCCGTGGTGTTCATTTTATGATGTCTGGCAGTGCTAGTGCCTTCTAATAGTCTTCCCTTTTGGAACTTTGCTGCTGTTTGTACATTTTAATTTTTCTACATGAACTTTAGAATCCATTTATGTATTTCCAAAAACTGATCCTGTAGGCACTTTGGTGGGGGTGGGAGTGAGGGGTAGAGATGGGTGGAGTGGCTGTGGGGAGGTGGGGAGTTGTTTTCAATTCAATTCAAGATTAATCTCTTCATGATAATGACTAAGTTATAGCTTTGACTTAATCTTTTCTCTTACAGATGATATTAACCGTGTTTTTGAGCAACAATGAACAGATTTTGACAGAAGTTCCTATAACACCAGAAACAACATGTCGAGATGTCGTGGAGTTTTGCAAGGAACCCGGAGAAGGCAGTTGCCACTTGGCCGAAGTGTGGAGAGGAAATGGTACGTGTGAGGCTCTGAGGTGCTAAGGTCCTCAGGCTCGATGTTCATCAGATGCAGAGTGTTGTTTCTGCTTTTCAGCTTTCTGTGGCAATGAGGAATTGGGTGATTAAAACAAAAGTAGTATTGTATTACACGGGGAGGGGGTCTCACAAATGCTGTTCATACAAAGGTGTTCTGTGACTTGACCCTTTGCTACGGACATTTTTTAAATTCAGGTATAATTGACAACATTATTAGTTTCAGATGTACAACATGATACAATATTTGCATATATTGCAAAATGGTTACCACCATACATATACTTAACATCTATCTGTCAGCATACACAGTTATGGAATATTTTTGGGGAGATGAGAACTTTTAAGATCTACTCTCTTAGCAACTTTCAAATATGCAATAAAAAATATGGACAGCTTCATGAGTCAGCATGTTATCTTTGCACGAGGACCATGCTGATTTTCTCTGTACTGTTCCAATTTCAGCTTACATGCTGCTGAAGTTAGCACTTTTTTTTTAATATATATTTTATTGATCTGGGGATGTGCCCACAACCAAGGCACATGCCCTTGACCGGAATCAAACCTGGGATTCTTCAGTCTACAGACCGACGCTCTATCCACCGAGCCACACCGGTTTCGGCTGAATTTAGCACTTTTTATTTTTGTTGTAGTTGACATACAATATTACATTAGTTTTAAGTGTATCACACAGTGATAAGACACTTTATAAAGTGACCAGCGTAAGCCAGTACCCACCTGGCACCATCCTAGTGAGCACAATGTTGTTGACTCTACTCCCTGTGCTGTACTCTCCATCCCTGTGACTAATTATAACTGGCAGTTTGTTCCTCTTAATGCCCTGCACCTTTTCACCTGGCCCCTCAGCCCCACCCCAATCTGGCAACCATCAGTGTATCCTCTGTATCTATGAGCTTGTTCTGTTCTGTTTTCTCATTTATTTTGTTTTTTCGATTCTACATGTAAGTGAAATCATGTGGTATTTGTCTTTCTCTGACTTGCTCACTTAGCATAATAGTCTCTAGGTTCCATATTGTCGCAAATGGTTGGACTTATTTCTTTTTTATTGCTGAGTAATATGCTATTGTATACACATACCACATCATCTTTATCCATTTGTCTGTCGATGCACACCTAGGTTGCTTCCATATCTTGGCTGTTGTAAATATGCTGCAGTGAACATAAGGGTGCATGAATCCTTTCAAATCAGTGTTTTTGATTTCTTCAGGTAAATACCCAAAAGTGGAATTCTGGGGCATATGGTAGTTCTTTTTCAAGTTTTTTGAGGAACCTCCATACTGTTTTCCAAAGTTTGCAAAAGTTTGTACTCCTACCAACAGTGCACAAGGGTTCCTTTTTCTCCACGTCACCCTGTTGTTTGTTGTCTTTTTGATGGTAGCCTTTCTGACGGGTGAGTAATAGCTCATCATAGTTTTGATTTGCACTTCCCTGATGATTACTGAGTGACATTGAGCATCTTTTAATGTGTCTGGCTGTCTGTGAATCCCTTGTGCCCATTTTTTAATCATACTGTTTGCTCTTTGGAGTTGTAGGACTTCTTTATCTCTTTTGGATGTTAACCCTTTATCAGATGTATCCTTTGTAAATATCTTCTCCCATTTAGTAGGCTGCCTTTTTGTTTTGTTGATGGTTTCTTCACGGTGCAAAAGCTTTTTTAGTTTGATGTAGTCCTCTTTGTTTATCTTTGTTTTTATTGTCTTTGCCCTAGGAGACATATCCAAAAAGATATTGCGAAGAGTTTATTGCCTGTGGCTTCTTCTAGGAGTTTTATGCTTTCAGCTCTTACATTTGAGTCTTTAATCCATTTGGGGTTTGTTTGTATATATTGTAAGAAAGAAGAGTAGTTTTATTTTGTGTGTGTGGGGTTTTTTTTTGTTTGTTTTTTTGCATTTATCTATCTAATTTTCCCAGCACCATTTAATGATGAGACTGTCTTTACTCCAGTGCTTCCTTTACCATAGAGTAATTGACCATATAAGCATGGGTCTATATCTGAGCTCTATTCTGTTCTGTTGATCTGTTTGCCTGTTTTTGTGCAGTCTCATGCTGTTTTGATTATTATAACCTTGTAATGTGGATTGATAACAGGTAGCTTGATACCTCCAACTTTGTTCTTTCTCAGCATTCTTTGGCTATTTGGGGTCTTTTTATGGCTCCATATAAATGTTAGGATTATATGTTCTAGTTATGTGAAAAATGTCATTGGTATTTTGGCAGGGATTACATTGACTCTGTAGATTGTGTTGGCTCATATGGACATATTAATAATATTAATTTTTCCAGTCCATGAGAATGATACATCCTTCCATTTATTTGTGTCTTCTTTGGTTTCTTTCATTAATATACTGTAGTTTCCAGAGGATAGCTCCTTTACCTCCTGGGTTAGATTTATTCCTCGGTATTTTATTGTTTTGGTGCAATTGTAAATGGGATTTTTAAAAAATTCTTTCTGATTGTTCATTATTAATGTATAAAAATCTAACCAATTTCTGAATATTAATTTTGTATCCTGCAACTTTACTAAATTAGTTTATTATTTCTAATAGCTTTTTGGTGGAATCTTTAGGGTTATATATATTTATCATGTCATCTGCAAACAATGATAGTTTTACTTCTTCCTTTCCACTTTGGATGCCTTTTATTTCTTATCTGAATGCCGGGCTAGAACTTAAGAGTATTGCTATATTGAATAAAAGTGGTGAGATTGGGCATCCTTGTCTTGTTCCTGATCTTGGAGAAAACGCTTTCAGACTTTCAGCATTGAGTATGTTACATGTGGGTATGTCATGTGTGCCTTTTATTATGTTGAAGTGTGTTCCCTCCCGTTTTGCTTAGAGATTTTACTATAAATGGATGTTAAATTTTGTCAAATGCTTTTCCCCCCCATTTATTGATATGATCATATGATTTTTGTCCTTTATTTTATTTATATGGGAACCAACCTTGCATCCCTGGAATAAATCCCAGTTGGTCATGGTGTGTGACATTTTAATGTATTGTTGAATTTGGATTGCGAATATTTTGTTGAAGATTTTTGCATCTGAGTTCATCAGGGATATTGGCTTGGTCCCTAAAGTCCATTTGAAATCATAACCCGTGACTTTATCTCATCACGAATGAGGACGGTCACCTCGGAGTGCAGAGGGTCACAGCGTGCTATATTTGCCATGGCTGTTCTACATCTCCTCCCGTTGTCTGGAAGAATCCCTGGCACTCACCCTACTTTGCTTGGCTAAGCTCTACTCTTTTCCTCTCATCCCTCTTGAATCTTGGAGGTGATAAATGTCCCTCCCCTGGGCTCCAGGGCTGCCATAGGATTTACTAAAACACGACTAAGTGGCTTTCATAGCTCCCATTAGGCTAAAGCTCCAGGAGGTGGGAAGTTGGCTCTTCACCATGTATCCCCAGGGCGCTGCCTGGTACTTGTAACTGGCCCTTTGCACACACTGGGGGCCCTGAGTGAGTGGAACAGCAAAGCGGGGTCTTGAGGAGCTATGTCCAAGTAGATGAGATGCAAAGGAAAGGGGGAAGCTCTAGAACCAACAGCCTTTCTCAGTCTCTTTACCCTAGAGCCGTGGTCGGCAAACTCATTAGTCAACAAAGCCAAATGTCAACAGGACAACCATTGAAATTTCTTTTGAGAGCCACATAAACTTAAATTTCTTCTAATGCCACTTCTTCAAAATAGACTCGCCCAGGCCGTGGTATTTTGTGGAAGAGCCACATTCAAGGGGCCAAAGAGCCGCATGTGGCTCACGAGCCATAGTTTGCCGATCACTGCCCTAGAGGAATCTTTAAAGTAAGTTTGGGCTTCAGAGAACCCCTGTGTAAAATCATTGCATCTGTGACCCATGGCATGCCAGTGCCATCATTACATCATAAATGTCACCCAGAGTGATTGCCAATGCCTTTGGGAAGAACATAGTTCTCTGTGGACCTGTGTGTTCGTTTGCCATAACACGGCACCACAGCCTGGTGGCTTACCCAACCGGAACTTGTTTTCCGAATTCTGGAGGCCAGAGGTCTTGGTTTCTCTGCGGCCTCTCTCCTGGCTTGTCAATGGCCACCTTCTCCGTGTCTCTGTCCTGATCTCCTCGAAGGACACCAGTCACGTTGGAGTAGGGCCACCTAATGGCTCCACTGACTTATTACCTCCTTAAAGGTCTCATCTAAAAACGAGGTCATGTTTGAGGCTCGGAGGTTAGGGCTTCAACATACAAGCTCAGCTCAGCCCGAGGCAGTCCGTTAACTGGGCCGGGCTATTAGCCTGCTCGTGTTGTGGCTCCTTCCCCACTAGTGTCCACCGTGTGCACCCCGGGAGGGAAGGTAGACCTTCGTGCTGCTTCTGGGTTTCCTAGTTGGTTTGCTCTGCCTTTTCCAAGGACGCCGAGGCTCAGCTGAGGAGGTGCGGAGTGTGTCCAGGACGCGTGTCAGGCAGTTGGCTTCCACTTTGAAACACAACCACTGAACCTTCTTATGTAAATAAAGGGAGGGAAGCTTACTGTACTTTTCTTGAAATTAATCTTTTCTATAAACTTTGTTAATTCACAAAAGAAAACAATAGATTTTTATAGGCCTATATACCTGTGTTACTTATAAAACTAAAACTATGGAATAATTTTTACTTCTTTATTGTTCAATTTGTGCTCATTTTTTGCTGTAATACCCAGTCTGAGTTGAACTTGAGCTAAGCTCACATATTTCATTTTCAACAGAGATGGGACCATTTCTGTCCTTGCTCTTAAGTCTGCGAGGGAGGCAAAGCTTGCCTGCACATGCAGGAGGCCAATGCCACTTCACTCTGGGAGTGACAGGATTTTCTTTGCTCTCTTTTTTAAAATTGCCCTCTCGCGCCTTTAAGAGCTAGCCCTATACTCAGGACGGCCCTCCTCAACCACAAGAGAGACCACCGTGTGTCCCGCCAGACTCCCCTGAGAGGAGCAGGGCTTCCTCCGAGGGGAACGAGAGCTTACTGAGGGCCCCTTCGTCACCCCTGCATGTGTGATAGGGTACGCTCTCCACGTCCTTCCTCTTGGCTGAAAGTCAAGTCCTCAGGCAGAGCAGAAGGGAGGGAAAATACTGTTCCATTTTGTTCTGTCTCTCCCCAGACTGTTTCTACAAGCCTTGGGGCTTGCTAGTATCCTTCCTCAAACTTTCAAGTAAAACAATAATGGGAATATTTCAAGATTTCACTCCCCTCTCCCCTTTAAATTGAAGTAAAATTCACACAATATAAAAATCACCATTTCAAAGTATATGGTTGAGTGGCTTTTAGGACGTTCACAGTGTTGTGCAGCCATCACCAAACTGCTCCTCCCCTCCCCTTCCTCCTCCTGAGCCAGGCAGCCACTGTGTCACTCTCCGGCTCTGTGGATTTGCCACACCAGGTCCTCAGATAAGTGGAATCACACAGTATGTGGCCTCTTTTGTCTGGCTGCTTACGCTTAGAATAATGTTCTCAAGGTGCATCCATGTGGGAAGCCTGTATTAGTACTTATTGTAGTTCCTGGTGTGGCCGGATGGTCGCCATTGTCTGAGACACCATGTCTTATCCATCCATCCGTCAGTTATGGGCGTTGTGGCTGCTTTCACTCTGGGCTCCTGTGGACAGGGCTGCGTGAGCGGCTGTGCGCAGTGCTCGTGTGGGCTCCCTGGGCGGTGAGGCAGGTGCTGCTGCCCCCCACATCCGATCTCCACGCAGCATGTCAACGAGGAGCGGTGCACGGCGTTTGATGCGTGCCGGTGAAGGGGAGGCACACTGCTTCATGGCAAACACTGTGAAGGCGTTTCCCCCAGGGCTGCCTGTGTAATGGTGGGAAGCTGTTTTATGTTTACTTCTTGTGTTTACTGGTTACCTGCATTGTTGCCCATTCTTATTCCGCTTTATTTCCTTAAAGTTAAAAATTAGTGCTTGCAATATTCTTGAATTCTAATTCATGTGTATATTTATCTAACTGTCTTTATGTTTTGCTTTGGGTAGGAATTACTCTGTTTGTGTCTGAGATAAACGAGGTGTGTTTTTTCCAGAGCGCCCCATACCCTTTGAGCATATGATGTATGAGCACCTTCAGAAGTGGGGGCCGCGGAGGGAAGAAGTGAAATTTTTTCTTCGACATGAGGACTCCCCAACCGAGAGCAGTGAACAAGGTAGATGAGTGCTTTCCCTCCCTTGGTTAATTTTTGCCGTAAGTTTTAATTTAAAAATAGGACTAAGTATTCAAATGAATTACTTGTGTTTGTTGCCCCTTCGCTCACGGGGTGAGAGGGAGGGTTGGTGTCCACATTCCTTCTGCCTCTGTTACTGCACTTCAGTTATTTCACAGTCCAGGCGCCTCGCCCTGCCTTCCTCTCAGTACCACAGCCCAGGAATGCACTCAGACGTGCTGTTCAAAGAATTGCTTTTGATAGATACCAGATGGATCAAATATCTAGGGTTTTAGAGTAAATAAAACATTGAAAGGATTAGAAAAATGAAATATGTTTTTTTAAAGTGGACAGAACCTTTCTAAGTGTAACAATAATCCAAAAAAGAAAAGAAACTGAATTACTAAAAAAAGCAAAAACTGTCTGTTTGGCAATAACCACCTTAAGCAATTTCAAAAGACAAATTATAGACTGGAAATAGCACTTATGTAGCTCATTAGCAAAGGGCTGATTTATTTTACATAAAAAGAGTTCCTAAAAATTGATACAAAAGATGAGATAAAATAAAACCCGGAAAAAAATGAGTGGCGGTGCTGGGGGCCGGGAATAGGTGCGCTCCCCTGGGTTCGCAGAGCGCCAGAGGACAGCTTCTGCAGCTGGTCATGTCTGTTCCGCTTACAACAGCACGAGCCCTTTCACCCAGCGACCTCACTTCCCAGAACTCGCCCTAAAGCTGTGCTGCACACGGACAGGATGGTGGGTACATGGTCACTCAGGAGGCACTGCCAGCGGGAGCAGCCTGCATGCCTATGGGCCACTGGGCGGAAAATCGTGCTGCCTCCAACAGTGGCCTCTTGCAGCTGTGATTGCAAGCCATGTGCCCGACCCAGGTCCCAGACACCCCTCGAGACTAAGCACCATGGGAAATAGTATGCACACGTGTTACCTCTGCGACAGACAGGCCTATGTCCATATTGGCTGTGCATGTCTGAAGTGTCTTTGGGAGGGAATGCCCTGGCCAGGTGGCTCTGTTAGTTGGCGTGTCATCCCATACACAGTAGTTGTGGGTTTGATTCCTGGTCAGGTCGCAAACTTAGGCTGTGAATTTGATCCCCAGTCGGGGCATGTATGGGAGGCAACCGATCAATGTTTCTCTCACTTGGATGTTTCTCTGCCTCCGTTTCCCTTCCTCTCTCTCAAACTAAAAATCAATGAAAACATACCCGTGGCTGAGGATTACAAAAAAAGAAGCTGGGGATTGTTTACCTGTTTGTTCCTTTTGCATTTTGAATCATGGGAATATACTACCTCTTTGAGAATTAAAATTTAACCAAAAAGGGGGTCTTTTTTTCTGAGAGCATATAACTGTGCAGTGACGAGACCCTCAGCTTGCTGTTTGAGAGTGATTGTGGATTCCTTCTGCTGTTTTAGAAAATCAGCAGCAAAAGGATACCATTCTGAAAAAGACTTCCTTATGCAAGTTCTTCCTCTTCGTCTGTCTTTTACATGACAGGACAGTGTGCCCTCTCTCCAGGAACCCTTTCACCGCTGGTTGGCGGACGCCATCTCTCCTGGGTTTCTTCCACTGGCTGCTGGGCCTCGGGGTCAGGAGACCACGGCTGCAGGCCTGGCTCTTCATCGCCTCCTGCGTCAGGCCAGAGCTGCTCCTGCAGGCATCTGCTAGCTCTGTGCAGCCCACAGCAGTGCTCTCGAACCCTTTACCGAGCCCTCCACATCCGAATGCCCTCCCTCCCTTAGCTGTGCCCAAGTAGCTGTGCTTTTTACTCGTGTCACTGTAATATGTGTGTGTAACCCTTCATGTCCTGTGCTGGTGAGGCGAGGGGAAGGTCTCATTTCTCACCATGACTCTTAGAAGCGTTAGAGATACCTAAGAGAGCTGTCTGGAGTCCTGAGGACAGTATACAGTTTACAAAGTGATCCTCGGTAATCCTAGTGCCCACCTGCTAGCACACTAGTTATTACAGCATTACTGACGGCACTACCTGGGCCGGGACTGTTTCATAACTGGCAGTTTGTCTGTGAGTCCATTTCTGCCTTGTTTGTTTTGTTCTTTAGGTTTCACATATGAGTGAACTCATATGGTATTGCCCAGCAGGTTTGGCTCAGAGGCGAGAGCATTGGCCTGCAGACTGAAAGGGTCCGGGTTCAACTCCGGACAGGGGTTCATGCCCGGGTCACAGGCTCAATCACCATTTAGGGCCGTGCAGGAGGAGCCGATCAGTGGTTCTGTCTCATCTATCTCTCCTTTCCTCTCTGAAATAAATTTAAAAATTTATATTTTTTTAAATCATATGGTATTTGTTTCTCTCTGTCTGACTTACTTCACTTAGAATAATATCCTCAGCGTCCATTCATGTTGTCGCAAATGATAAGATTTTATTCTTTTTTATGGCTTAGTAATATTCCACTGTATATATGTACCACATCTTCTTTATTCACTTGTCTATTGATAGACCCTTGGGTTGCTTCTATAGCATGGGTATTGTAAACAAAGCTACAACGAACAAAGAGGTGCCCATATTTTTTGAATTAGTGTTTTAGAGTTGTTTGGATGAATACCCAGAGTGGAATTGCTGGGTTGCAAGGTAGCTCTGGTTTTAATTTTTTGAGGCACCACCATACTGTTCTCCACGGTGGCTGCCCAGTGCCATCCCACCAGGAGTGCCCGAGGGTCCCTTTGCTCCACATCCCCACCAACACTCAGGTTTGTTGCGTTATTGATGACGGCCATTCTGACAGATGCGAGGTGATCATTGTCCCCTCTCCCCCTCCTCTGCCAATCCTTCCTTACATAGTCATTCTCTCCCGTGCCCTGACTCAGAAGACCATCCCCCAGCTGTGATGCTCTGTCCTCTGCTTGCTCCTGCCTGTGCTCATGCTTGTGCTGTGTGTCTGTCTGTCAGCTTGAGAAAAGCTGCAGTTAGAACAGCTCCCAGGGCATCTGCTCCCCGTTTTGTCCTGTTCACTGGACTTTTCCAGCTTATAGTCTGAGCAGCCAGCACTGAGGGTCCAAGACTCATGTTTCCTCGGTGCTTCCCCCAGAGCTGAGGGACAGGCAGTTCTCCCCGATGATATTATTTTAAAGGTGGCGAATTTGAGTGTGAGTAGAGATACCCGCCCTAGCAGGTGCAAGTCCTCTATGTGGCAGCGAGAGGACAGCACAGAGGACATGTACTGAGTCACCTCTCACACTCGGGAAACCAAAGCCTGGTGTGTAAGTGACCTGATGAAGGTCATGTGCAGGGCACAGCTAGTGCCTGGGGAATGGCGTGATGGTGCTAGGGTCGAGGCCACCTGGGCTCTGCCACTGTGCTGCTGACAGGGTGTGGGCTTGGGGCAAGTGGCTGTACCTCCCTGTGCCTCTGTTTCCTCCTCTACAGGACACATGGCTTCTGGTGGGTAAAGAGCAGACGGGGCCCCGGCTGGCATGGCTCAGTGGTTGAGCGTCAGCCTATAAACCAGGAGGTTGTAGTTTGATTCCCAGTCAGGGCACATGCCTGGGTTGCGGGCTCCATCCCCAGTGGGGGGGGGGGGGGGGGGGGCGTGCAGGAGGCAGGCAGTCAGTGACTCTCATTGGTGTTTCTATCTCTCCCTCTCCCTCTCCCTCCCTCTCTGAAATCAATAAGAATATTTTTAATCGTCCTTAGTACAGGTGTAGTAAGTTTGGTCCTCTTGTTTCTTTAGGTGGCCGTCAGACCCAAGAGCAGAGAACCCAGAGGAATGTGCCTGGAGAAAAGCGTGCTGAGAACGGGGTAAGCAGCAGGGAGCGATACTGACATTTTTAAGATGCTTTTCACAGG